CAGAAAATACAAGCGCGCGCGGAAAAATTGTCTTTGCATTTGCTCACGTCAGCAGCGTACACCCATGGGCAAATGGGGGACGCTGAATTGACCAATCAGAGCGCGCGCTTTACTTTGGTTATGTTATAATTCTTCTTTTTTATTGACATAATTTGAACTTAACCCTTGGAAATTCTCTAAGGGAAAAAAGTAAACCAGAAGCCAAGTCAAGGGGTTTTTTTTTTCAAGTTATTTCTTTTCACGTAGACATACTTAGTCAAAGTTCTGGCGTTTCCTTTCATCTGTGTTGGTGCAAAAATATATCTTCCCATTGTTCTACACTTCTTCACCACAAATTGTTCCTCGGTTCCAAAAAGATCACATGAAGTTGACACAGAGATCTGTAGGGGCTGTATATAAAGGAACATATAGGTGATAGAATTCAATGATGATTGAAAACTATTAAAGTTGCATTTTTTTTTTCTTTCTTTGTCTTTTATATTTTTTTGTTTTGGATTTTTTTGCGTTCACCTTTTGTTTTTGTTTGCTCTGTTCTTTTTCTTTTTGTTTTCTGTTTGTTTTTCTTGAGTTTCTTTTCAGTTTTTTTATTTTCTTGTTTGTATGGTATTTTCATAGGGCCTTTTTTTTGTTTTCAAATTAAGATGATAATTTGAACTTGCTGGTAAGATGGCTATATTCTTGCTTCATATTACATCCATATGATGTTTTGCTTTTTGTTCACTCTTTGTTTGTTTGTTTTTTTTTCTGCTTACAATGTTTTTGTTGTTGTTGTTATTGTTTCTAGTAGTCTTGCTTTTCGGTCTTGTTTCAATACTCATTTTTTAGCGTTGCGCTGTAATTTTTTTTCCTTTTTGGAAACATCTTGTGGGAATTTGAACACCAGCTAGAAGAATGCTCCGCCGTTTCTTGTTGCTGAGAAACCAGTCCTACAGGTTTTATATATTGGTCTCAAATGTGACAGGCGTCCTGCAAACTACTATGAAAGGCAAACGCTTCCTTTACAGATAAGTAAGACAGACAGAAAGGTCTTTTTCATTTCTTTAGGGCTTTGTTTGCATACCTCATCAATGACGCTGCAGTTCTCGCTGAGACATCGCACACCTGGAACGTTTGAAAACACGCGGGGTTTTCCAGTGCAGTTGTGCAGGTTTAAGGTCTTTGTGATTTGCAATTCTTTGAGTGTGTTGGTCTCCAGTGTGTTGTGACGCACATCATACAGATTTTCACACAAACCACGAGAGCTGAACTGCAAGGATTAAAAAAAACAAAAACAAAAAAAAATTCGTAGCCGTGCATAAAAGAATAGTATAAAATTGCTCTCGGAGCTGATTCTGGCTTCAGACACATGAAACAACTGAAGTACAGCCCAACCATTCCCTTCCTCCGTGTGGAGAGAGACACTGAGAGAGCAAAATATCCTGCTCGAACCCAGACCTCTTCATCCAGAGACCGGTAGGCTTACCACTAAGTAACCTCGCCTCTCAAAGAAGAAACTAATGTACCATGCGTTAAGGGAAGTAATGATGCAAATGAAAACTTGTAGTGGCTTTTTGAGATCTTTGATCTCCACAGTTGATTAAAATATATTTAGTTGTTATCATAGTGATGCAAGTAGCTTTTAGGGATATGAAAAATACCGGGGATTTTTTTGGAAGGCCTAAATTTTCAACTAGCGTCTTCCTCCACCAGTAAATGTTTTCCCAAACTGCTCGAACCCAGGCCTCTTCATCCAGAGACCGGTAGGCTTATCACTAAGTAACCTCGCCTCTCAATCGACGTCTTCCTTGCCGTCTTGAGTGCTTAGGTCCCAGCCAGAAAATGTTTCAAGTGGAGAAATCTAGACATAGGCAGGTTCTTAAGCATGAAAGTCTTTGCTGGAACAGCCAACTCAGCCGACCAAAACACAACTTATTCAATCTTTCAATATAGGAACACATGAAGTCCGCGAGAAACGTTTTAGCTTACCTCCCAGTTCCTGTATAGTCTTGGTTCACCGTGATTTAATGAAGACTCAGGCTTGGTAAAGTTATGATGGATCATGGAAAGGATTCCTCTCTTGATGTTCAAAATGTACTCCGGCTCATCGTCATTACAGAAGATCTCACCAACTTTTCCCTCTTTGTATTCAAACTTGATTGGTCGTTCCAGGAGCGGCTTTAGTTCATCCGAGACAGGGGAGACAGTGTGCGACTCTGATTGGCTATAAGATGTTACATTTACTTCGTACAGAATTGGGTTTCTTATCTACAAAAGGAAGAAAAAAAGGTTTGATTTGAGCTGATAGATCACTAAAGGAAAGTACACGCGATTAACTTTCATTTGAATGACCTTGCACCAGGGATTCAGCCACTTTGTACAACATAACAAACATTAACATATAAAGTTGTTGCTTGGTAGCTTTCATCACAATGGTGAATGAATGAATGAATGAATGAATAACTTTATTTAGACTTGTAACATTGACGAGGCTAAGAAAAAGACTCGTTACAAAAATGTACGTGTAAAGACCCTCCATCCCTTATTGGCAGTCAATTATCTACAGTCCCTCCTCTACACTTTGTT